GATTTTTAGTGCATGTAAATTCTAGTTAGCAGACTAAGACAGAAGAAAGAATTAGTCGTTTACGTCATGATGTGAATCATTTGGGCAATAAAATGTAACGTTGTACTGGAATTGGGAGTTTTAGGGCATGAGGCTGGAATTCTGAAAAATGCCGTTTTGCTGTGGAATTGTATGCAATTATTATGAAGTTACTTTAGATAGGGCTGACCAGACGTTTCGTTTTGGAAGCACTTCCGCAAAGAACCCGGTAATGTAAACATCGCCAACTTTGTTAAATGGTTTAAATAAGTTTGTTATTTAAATAGGTTGTTCCCCCCCCCGCTTTTTTTTTTCCCCTGCATTTTTCAGCTTTCCGTGACCTTGATAAAAATGACAACTTTATTCCATTTTTATAGAAACTGCAAATATGATTTTACTAAGGAAACATAAATTAATGTTCATAAACTGTAATCCTTTATCATATGTACGAAAATAACTGTGGAGTTGCATTGTTTGATTAGTATAGATATTTATGGTATTCAAAGAATTTTTAATATTGTGAAGTAGTTGAATGCATAGAATAAAGAGAACAAACCTATACATGATAAGTGAGTGCAGAATTTATCTGAAATGAGCAGAAGATTTTAGATTGTCAAGATTTTGGTTGATCTTTACATTATGGTAACTTGGCGTTTTTTTGGCGAAAATTTGGCGACCAACTCTTCTACAGCAACCCTCTATTTTTTTTTCCCGCCGCCATTTTGTCTTCACGAAGTAAAGACATGTTTTCTTTTTATCTACTGAACACTTCTTCCAACAATCTACTAGCTGAATTACACTTATGCTAGAAATTTTATCTAACAAAACTGCTTAATCATGACAAATATTCACTGCAAAATTGGGAAAAAGTGCACAATACCATACTCCTTACGCGTTTTTCAAAATAACACATACACATAAACCATGTACACGCCGACTTATTTTTACTTAAAAAAACATCCCAGAATTGCACAAAAATGGCATTGCGCAGACTCTTCACTATATCCATGTACACTGCTTTTTTCTCATAAATTAGAAAAATTTCACTAAAATACATGACAATTTAATTTTCTCAATCTTTAAACCCGGTAAAAAGAACATATATGAAATTACCTGATCACGAAAAAGTATTTACCCTTTCCAAATATGAACATTTCCACATATAAAATAAATAAAATATCCAAAAACTTTTACCTCTAAATCATCTATTATATTATAAACGTCACCAACGAATTCATACCGCAACCATTACAAATACTTAGTGTCAGATATTTAAATTTCCATGCACGTTTACTTCAACTAAAACGTATACCAAATTCCTACAAACATAAAATTCACAAAATAACTATCATTTCATTAAAATATAATTAAATTCAAAAACACTACTTAAAATATTAATGAGCACATACATTAAATTAATAAAAGTTACCTTACAATCCTAATTACTTTAAACTAAATCATTGCTAATAACAATTTTCCCAATAATACCAAATTCCTTTACTTCCACCTTACATTTAGAACAATGCATAAAAATAATATCCTCAAATAATTAAAAATACTAATTTACCTAATCTTCTTCAGAATCTTGATTACGTGTCCGATAAACTTTTCTTCTTTCTGTTTCAGGATCTTTAAAATCATACTTATATTTCACAGCAAGGTACCAGAATAAAGCCAAATACAAAATTTCCAGATTTTTTCCCGATTTCCCCCCTTTTCCGATTAAAGAACCGTAATTCGTCCATTAATATCACATGACATATCCCATGATCTCTCATTTCCCTCACACAAAGTAATGCGTAATCGGAACTGAGTACTGCTCACATTATTACCAAAGTCCCAGGTAGTAACCTTTATCGCCTCCAAAATGTCGCCAAGCTACCAGTTACCATATTGTAAAGATCAACCAAGATTTTTTACAATATTTGAATGTTTGTTCTTTTCAGAAACTTAGGAACTATAGTACCTGATAAAAAATACTATTTTCTGTTATTGACAGATTGTAGCCAAAAGTCATATCTCGGCTAAGCATTGAGACAATGAAAGCTTGTGATGCCAAATTAAGTTCTGGAATGTGAAAAGATTTATGATAAGGTATAAAAAAATCAAAATGTAATGCAAGAAAACTTCACTAGAGAATTAATTGGCCAAAGTGGAGCAGCAAGTCGCCAAGTGGTGCCAAATCCAAGCAATCTCATATTTTTATTGAATTTATGCTAACCTGTGAAAACTGTTAGGTTTTAGGGTTACCATTTATAGTATTTAATTGAGCTTTTTGAATATTCGTCATTTCACTGTCCTCATCGTGGATAATTGTGTGCTGGTGTTGAATTTATGGATTTTATTTATTTGAATTGATTGCAAGATAAGGGTGAAAGGTGTGTAATGGAATGGTTCAGGAATTATGGTTTGATTTTGAATGTGTAAGAATGTCATAAGTGCAGAAATAGTGTGAATTTAATTGAAAGAAGAGCCGCAACAGAATTATATGAGTGGTGGTGTCATGCCTTCCAAGCATGAGGTGACAAGGTGTGTGAGAAAGGCTCTTGGTTTTTCAAAGGACCTGCGAGTCTGATCCTTTAGCTAGCATGTTTGTGCAGTCAGAAATGCATGAATTAGTGTATTATGGATGAGTTGCTTGTGGCTGACCACAGTGTAGTAAATTAGAAGATGTTTTGCTGAGGGTTGGGTGTGGAAATGTGCTTACAAGAGAATGACATATTTGGAGGGCCCAGAAGTGTGGTTGAAATTGGTGAAAGTAAGTTTGGAAAAAGAAAGTATCACTGTGGAAAGCACGGAGAAGGGAAGTGGGTGTTTGGAGGTACTGTAAGGTGATCGAATAAAAGCTGAATACATTTATATCATAAAAGTACTTTTTGATGTCCATTTTTTTTTTTTTTTTTTTTTTTTTTTTTTTTTTTCTATTTAAAGTATGATCATCCTAAGTATCTCATTGCAGTATTGCTGTTTCAAAATTCAGTATGGCTAGTGCCCTTGCCAAGTTGTTGTTTCATTTATGGAAACCTGAGTAAAGGCTGAACGTTGGATTATCGCCAAGTTGTTTCATTTATGGTAAACTGAGTAGTTGAATGTTATGAAAACCCTATTATGACGTAGTTGGTCGCACGTGAATTTGGCTGATGGAAAAGGATTTGTAAGGTCTTGTTTGTGTGTTGGATGTTGGTTAGGAAGTTGCTTATTTTGTGGTTTACACTATAAAATGGCTGAATGTGGTAAGATTAATTTGAAATTTCTATAGGATTTGGAATGAATGGGGGGGAGAGAAGCATTACTTAACTGGTGTGTAAATGAAGGTGGCTAATCTTTGGATTATGGTAACTTGGCAAAAATTTGGCGACCAACCCTGCTACAGCAACCTGCTAGTTTTTGTTTGGACGCCATTTTGTTTTCATGAAGTAAAGGCATGTTTTTTTTTTACTCAACATTTTTTTCTCACAATCTGCTAGCCGAATTACGCTTACGCTAGAACTTTTATGGAACAAAAGTGCTTAATTATGACGAAGATTAGGTGCGAAATTGAAAGAAAGTGCCGAATCGCCCACTGCTTGCAGCGTTTTTAAGAATTGAATATACACGCTATCATCCACGTACACATCGACCTATTTTCACTTAACCTGGGTTTGATCGGGTGTGAGACACCCAGTGACTCCTTTTTCGCAACCTTTTTTAAAAAATGAACGAGTTTTCGTGTAGCTGCCTCAAAGGTCATAAACTTGGAAGGGGAGAATCGGCGAAAGAATTCTAAAAATAGATCTACTTAAATCGCGGGGCTTGGGTATCTCACACCCAGAGCGACATTTCTGTAACTGTTCTCAGTACAGGCAGACATATCTAAATTGTTCTTTCGTTATGGCGCGTTACCGCACTTATGGCGAAGAAATGCGGTATTTGAAAAATTTACTGGATACTGTTTCTTCTAATGAAGAAAATATAGAGGAAGATAGTGATTTTGAAGAGCCAGATGACGAAGAATATTGTAGTGATCATGATTCTTCAACAGAAATTGAATCTGATTCTGAAAACGATGTTTCAGATTCAAGTGAAGATAATTATTTTATCGGAAGAGATAACATAACGAAGTGGAATAAAGAGAAATTCAAAGCTAATGTTAGAATTTCTGCGAAAAATATAATATCAAAACTCCCAGGAAATACACCCGTTTCAAAGAATGTAACTTCTCCTGTGGATGCTTGGAAACCTCCTTATATCTTCTGATATGATAAAGAAGTTAGTGCATTGGACTAACAGTTTTATAGAATCGATTCGAGAGCGTTTTTCACGGGAAAGAGATGCAAAAGAAACTAATGAGGCTGAAATTAAAGCATTTATTGGATTGCTTTATCTCGTTGGTTTGCATAAATCATCACATGTGTATATACGAGATCTTTGGGCAACAAACGGCACTGGAATAGAAATATTCCGTACAACCATGTCATCAACACGTTTTTATTTTTTATTGAGATGCATCCGATTTGATGATATACAAACTCGCCAGAGCAGAAAAGAATTATTCAAACTGGCCACGATACGTTAGTTCTTCGAAAATTTTGTAGAAAACTACCAAAAAATGTACAACGTTGGAGAGTATGTAACCATAGATGAGAAATTAGAATCTTTTAGAGGGTGATGTCCATTTCGCCAATACATGCCAAAGAAACCATCAAAGTATGGAATAAAAGTTTTTGTGCTCGTCGATTCGAGAGTGTTCTATACTTGGAAAATGGAAATATATGCCGGTAAACAGCCGAAAGGTCCATTTCAAGTAGATAATTCTTTCAGTAGTGTCGTAAAAAGATTGATGGATCCTCTGTATAATTCAGGAAGAAATCTAACAGTGGATGACTGGTACACTTCTTATCCACTTTCACAAGAACTCCTGAAAAAAAAAAATGTAACAATTGTTGGAACATTGAGAAAAAATAAGAAAGAAATTCCTCCAATATTCTTGAGTGCAAGAAAAAGGGACGTTTACTCTTTCATGTTTGAATTTCAGAAAGAAACGACTATTGTTTCATATGTACCAAAGAAGAGTAGAAATGTTCTTCTGCTCTCAACAATGCATAACGATAATGCAATAGACGATGTTTCGAGACTACTGGAGAATCAAAGAAACCCGAAATAATAACTTTCTATAATATAACGAAAGGAGCTGTTGGCGTTGTCGACCAAATGGCTGCAACATATTCAACAACTAAAAAAAACAAATCGATGGCCTATGATGATATTTTATGCAATGTTGAATGTAGCTGCTATAAATGCATGCGTTAATTTGCTATCCACTGAGGAACCACCAACTCAGAATCGAACACGACGTTCTTTTCTGAAAGTTTGGGATTTAAAGTAATCGAAGACTACAAAAAGATCAGAAGCCAGCAAACAATGCTCCTGCAAAGTTTGAGAGTAAAACTGGTAAAGAATGAGGACTCTCAACCATCTGCTAAGAAGGCAAAAGTAATAATTAAAAGATGTGCTGAATGTGGATCTAAAAAGAACAGAAAAACAAAATATATTTGTGAAAAATGTCAAAAATATGTATGTATGGAACATATGGCATGTATTTGCAGGAAATTTACAGAATAATTGTAAGTAATATTTTAAATATATGTTTAAAACTGTTTCGACTTTTATCTTTTTCTTCTGTTTTACGTTTTGTGTAAATTTTCTAGTAGAAAATAGGAAGAAACCACCCTGGGTATGACACACCCAGCGCGTGTAATGCCGGGTTAAAAAAAACATCCCAGAATTGCACAAAAATGGCATTGCACACACTCTTGACTGTATTCATGTACACTGCTAAAGTCCTAGCTAGTCACCTTTATCGCCTTACCAAAATGTCGCCAAAGTACCTGTTACTATATTCCAAAGATTAGCCATGAAGGTTTACTTAGTAGTAGTTATAAGTGTCCTGTTTGTACAAAAGGAAATGCATATGGTCGAACGTAAAGATCGTTCAGATGACTTTCAATGAATTTGCCGCAAGAGAGGTTCAAATGGTCACCATATAAAGCATTTCATTAGAATGGGAACATGGTTTGAGGAAAGTTTTGGGTTGCTGTTTAGGAATTTTGTGTGCCACAGACTGAAGACACACTGAGTAATTTCTAAATAAAGTAGGTGGCTATTTCCTTTGTGTAGTGCTTATTTTATGTTATTTCATTGTTTGATTTAAAACACAGTTTATTGAGATTATATATTTTTTGTGCGCACTGCCAAGTTTGTGCAATTCTGTGATGTTTTTTTAAGTGAAAATAAGTTGATGTGTACATGGATACTGAGTTTGTGCATTTCTTTGACTTGTTTAGCGGCGATTTTTGGCACGAAAATCGCTGCTAAACTAAGCTAAAATAACTAATCAAAGAATTGTATAAACTCTGTGTCCATGTACTGCTAAAAATCGCCAAGGGGCACCGTCAAATATAGTTTTACCTTCAGTATAAATATATAACATTTTATATTTGTTTTCAGACATTTGTATTTTCAAACTTTATTTGCAAGGTAGACTGCGCACACACACAAAAAAAGGGGCAGATCTGTATCTCCCATTCTACTGGGCCAATTAATGAAATTCAACTTGCATTTTTCATGTCTCGAAAACATGACTTAGGATATGTATTAGATTTATCTATAGCATTGTTTTAATATAGCTATTTTGATACAAAATCAGACTTTTCTGAAACAGCATACAATTTTTTTTCCCATATTTCCATTCTACGACTCAAATTACGCCAAGCTACCAAGTTTTGTAAAAATCGCACTAGAAATTTTTAAAAAATTAGCTCTCAAAATTTTAACTCCTGAATGTTAATTGAATTTGGTATATATTTATTATTCTATCTTTTTTTATTGAACTTATTTGATTCTTCCTTTCACATTATGAATAATTTTTTATAAATTTTTCAAAAAAGTTTTGAATTATAATCTATGAAATTTGTACCATCATCTTAATAAGAAATAACCATGTAACTATAATTTCCAGCATACATTTTGCCCACATGAATTTTTCATCAGTTATGTACCTCTAATTAAAAATTAACTAAACAATCTTTGTTGGAATACAGAATTGGGAAAAAATATATTTAGGGGTGTCCCTTGACGAAAAATGGCGATTTTTGGAGGTACATGGACACAGTGCAATTCTTTGACTTGTTATTTTGGCATTGTGTAATGGTGATTTTGGGCACAAAAATTGCCACTACACAAAGCCAAAATAAAAAGTCAAAGAATTGCACAAACTGAGTATCCATGTGCACATCGACCTATTTTCACTTAAAAAAAAAAAAAGTGGATTGCACAAACACAACATTGTGGCCCTTGACTTTATCCTCATAATCTCAATAAACTACATTTTAAATCAAACAATGAAATAACATAAAAAAGAAAATTCATCTTGTAGCATCTAAGCACTCTGTATCTTGCCACATAAATTCACAAAAATAAGAGTAAAAAATATTCTCTGTTGTACAGGACTGTCAGTGGCATTTCTTGTGATAAACCCATTCAAAGCCATCTGAATGATCTTTACATTCAACCATACACATTTCCTTCATACAAACAGGACATGTATAATGGCTACTAAGTAAACCTTAATTTACATACCAGTCAATTAATGCTTTTTTGCCCTTTTGCTCCAAATCATGCAGAAATCTTAAATTAGCCTTACCACATTCAGCCATTTTACCGTGTAAACCGCAAAATAAGCTACGTACTTCCTAATCGACATCCAACACACAGAAAGTCCTTAAAAATCTTTTCCCATCAGTCAAATTCATTGCAATCGCACAATTACGTCATAATAGGGTTTCCATAGCTTTCAACTACTCAGGTTACCATAAATGAAACAGCTTAGTAATAATCCAAGGGGCATTCTTAAATATAGGCTAACTCAGAATTGTTTTTCAGTTATAAATTAATATGTTTGTATTTGATTTATTTTTTCATTCTGTCTAATATAATAATTATTGGTAGAAAATGTATTAAAATTTTAATATTTATGATATTACAAGACGAGTATATAATAATAAGAAGAACATGTCAATTTCAGAATGACTCGTAAAAAATTAATTGAAAATGAAGACAAAATATCTTTACCTTCATCATCAGAGGATGAACTACTGTTTGCAGGTAATAGTAGTGATGATGATATTTCATCTGAAGATGATTCTAAAGGAGAATCTTCTGACTCTGATGGTGCTCCTGAAATGGTATCTTTTAAATCCGCACTTGAAAACTCAAAGTTACTAAGAAAGCATACTGCTGAAGTAATAAAAACTCAAAAAGAAGAACGGAAAAGGAAGAGGAAAGAAATCCAGGCTAAAAATTTATTACAAAAAGAAGAAAAGGTATATTATTTAATTTATACTAATAAACAATGATAAATTATTAACCATACTTGAGTTATTTTAATCCCGCAAGTTTGAGTTACATTTTTTATTTCTATTTAATCATTCTGTACATCATGCAAATTCAGTTCTCTCTTTCCTTTTATAACTTATGTTAAATATAAAAACATTTTCAATACCTCGATTCATCTTCTTGTACAATAAAAAATCTAACTACATTATTATAGTTAACAAGTCTGTAGAAAATGCAGATATGTATGTATAATAATAAAAAAAAAATACTAGTACGGAGGTAATACGAGGGCCATCCAGGAAGTAGATTACGTTTCCGTCTGTGTCCGCTAGGGGCGGGGCTAGCGCGGCCATCTTGGGGTCAGAGCGTTGCGCAGCTCAGTCTGCATCTAGCCGTGCTAGTGAGAGGTTCGTGCTGTGCTCCGTTCAGATACTGTGACGGTTTGAAATGTCTGCGTTAATTGAAAATCCCGCGAGCTGCGAGGTGCGCTCAGTAATAAGGTTTCTGACTGCAAAAAACTGTAAACCGATAGAAATCTATCGGCAGCTTCGTGAAGTGTATGGGGACAACATTATCACTGAAGGTGGAGTGCGTCAGTGGGTCATAAGATTTCAAAATGGCCGAACCAATGTTCACGACGAAGATCGAAGTGGGAGACCCAGCATAGTGACCGCCGAACTTCTCGAAAAAGTCGATGCTAAAGTCCGTGAAAATCGAAATTTCACAATAACGGAACTTTCTTTGAGTTTTCCACAAATTTCGCGAAGTTTGTTGCACGAAATCATCAGCGAAAAGCTTGGTTACCACAAGTTTTGTGCAAGATGGAAGGCAAGAAGAGGTAACGAAGTGGTTGAAGGCGCAGGCGGCCGAATTTTTCGACGAAGGAATTTCCAAGCTCGTACATCGCTACGATAAATGCCTTAATTTGTATGGTGACTATGTAGAAAAGTAGTATTTGAGTGTGGCTTTCATCTGTATATAATAAAATTTGTTTCCTATACTTTGTTTATTTTTTTATTCCAAAACGTAATCTACTTTCTGGATAGCCCTCGTATATCCCTCGATTGTGAAATTAACTGGCTATGTCATTCTGAATTTAATCTTGGTAATTAGTGGGCTCCTACCTCTTGTTTTTCTATTGTCAACTGTAATTATGTTAAACATAATTTATAATTGTGAAACAAGTGATGCAGCTATCAATGAATACATGTATATGTTTTTATGTATTAACAGAGATTTACATTTAAACATGTTGTTTAAATGTAGTGTAAATATATAATTTTAAACATAAACTATATATTTATGTTTATACGAGGGCCATCCAGGAAGTAGATTACGTTTCCGTCTGTGTCCGCTAGGGGCGGGGCTAGCGCGGCCATCTTGGGGTCAGAGCGTTGCGCAGCTCAGTCTGCATCTAGCCGTGCTAGTGAGAGGTTCGTGCTGTGCTCCGTTCAGATACTGTGACGGTTTGAAATGTCTGCGTTAATTGAAAATCCCGCGAGCTGCGAGGTGCGCTCAGTAATAAGGTTTCTGACTGCAAAAAACTGTAAACCGATAGAAATCTATCGGCAGCTTCGTGAAGTGTATGGGGACAACATTATCACTGAAGGTGGAGTGCGTCAGTGGGTCATAAGATTTCAAAATGGCCGAACCAATGTTCACGACGAAGATCGAAGTGGGAGACCCAGCATAGTGACCGCCGAACTTCTCGAAAAAGTCGATGCTAAAGTCCGTGAAAATCGAAATTTCACAATAACGGAACTTTCTTTGAGTTTTCCACAAATTTCGCGAAGTTTGTTGCACGAAATCATCAGCGAAAAGCTTGGTTACCACAAGTTTTGTGCAAGATGGATTCCAAAAATCTTGACAGAGGACCACAAAAATCAGCGAATGGCTGCAGCGTTGAACTTTTTGGACGCTTACCATAAGGATGGTGACTCTTTACTCGATCGCATCGTTACTGGTGACGAAACATGGGTGAAACATGTGAACTGTGAAACGAAATTGCAATCAATGCAGTGGGGGCACACAAATTCTCCCCAAAAACCCAAGAAATGCATGCAAACAATGTCGGCAAGGAAGATGATGGCGACTGTTTTTTGGGACAGAAAAGGTGTAATTTTGGTGGACTTCCTGGAAAGAGGCACTACAATAAACTCTCAAAGGTATTGCCAAACTCTTCAAAAACTCAGAAGAGCAATTCAAAACAAGCGCAGCGGAATGTTGAGCTCTAAGATCTTGTTGATTCACGACAACGCCCGGCCCCACACAGCAAATGTCACTCGTAAAGTTCTTGAATCTTTTAAGTGGGAGTTGTTTCCTCATCCGCCGTACAGTCCCGACCTGGCACCGAGCGACTTCCACCTATTCCCAGCAATGAAGAAGTGGCTGGCTATGCAGCGTTTTGATGACGACGCACAGCTGCAAGAAGAGGTAACGAAGTGGTTGAAGGCGCAGGCGGCCGAATTTTTCGACGAAGGAATTTCCAAGCTCGTACATCACTACGATAAATGCCTTAATTTGTATGGTGACTATGTAGAAAAGTAGTATTTGAGTGTGGCTTTCATCTGTATATAATAAAATTTGTTTCCTATACTTTGTTTATTTTTTTATTCCAAAACGTAATCTACTTTCTGGATAGCCCTCGTATAACTTTATTATGCAAAAAAGATAAGAAAGATTTGTAAGTATCTACAGCTGCCTGATTAAGATGATGTCTAATGAAGATGATGCAGTGTCATCTTCTAAATTAACACCACATCAAAATATCTTAGTATTACACACAACACACACATACATAAGTATCTCTCTCTCTCTCTCTCTCTCTCTATATATATATATATGCATCGAAGGGCAATTACATTATGGCCACTCTGTTAATAACATGGATGACCACCTTTAGCCCTCAAAACTGCCAACACGCAGCATGGCATTGACTCCATCAGATGCTGATATGTAGTGTTAGGTATCTGGTGCCAAGCACTCACCAACTGTTCCTGCACATTGTGAGGGGGTAGTGTGGCAGCACTAATCTGGTTTTCCAGTGGAACCACAAATGCTCTATTGAATTAATGTCAGGTAAATTTAGAGGCTAAGACATGACTTGAAAGTCACTGGTATGCTCCTCAAACCATTCCCTGACAATTTGACCCTTATTGACATAGTGCATTATCCTGTTGGTAAACACCATCCCCAACTTGAAATACTGTTGTCATGACTGGATGAACCTTGTCTGCAACGATGTTCACGTAGTGCACAGATATCAGGGATTGTTCCATGGTGATTATGGGTCCTAATGTACTCCATGAGAACATTGCCAATGCCATAATAACCCCCCCACACACACACACACTGGCTTGTATCCATCCAGTTGAGCATCCGGGAGCCAGGGTGCCGTTTGGAATTTGGGGTATTAGCACACGCCTCTCAACGTGATGGATCAGAAAATATGACTCGTCACACCATGCAACTTTTTTCCATTCTTCTAATGTCCAATTCCGATTTTTCTTGTCCCATTGCACACGCAGCTGGCAATGACATACCATCAGGGCAGAGACGTACTTCGGCCTCACTCTGCCTGTGTAAGCGCATACGCAGCAATGTACACTGCACAGTGTGTTGAGAAACACTGTTCTGGGTCACCACTGGTGGTGATTTTGGCTGATGTAGACCTTCAGTCATGGGGAACAATATGTAGCAATCTCCTCCGCACCTTCGATGGCACACTGCTACCCAGCATTGTTGTTTCACTATCCATACACCACTTTCAACATGTGTTAACAACAATTGCACATGAACAGCCCAATAAACTTGCCATTTCTGATATTGATGTTCCCAGTTGCTGAGCCCAAGTCCATTGTTATAGATGGAGGCTGGTCATAATGTAATGGCTCTTCAGTGTGTATATATTTAAACATAAAATTTAATGTGTGTTTGCATGCATTGATGTATTTAACTTATTACTAGTAAGATGAAGTTTCAGTTCTTTGAGTTGGTTTTGCTGAATACATTATTAAATTTATTTTATAAATTTTTGTTTTATATACATGCAAAGCAGAGCCATGCCTACGTATTTTTTTACCTGAGACAATAGGTAACCATGCTCCCCTATATGCAACGCTAAGTGTGCACCCATTTAAAAAGAAAACATAGTCTTAATATATATATATATATAGTCTTTCATAGAAAAAATATTCCTTTCTTTAATAGCAAGTTAAGAATTTAGAATTTCTTATAATTCAGCTTCATTTAATGAAAGATTTTGTTTTAGGATTAATTTGCATCTTTTTAATAAATTATCAATTTGAATAATGTTTTTGAATCTTTTCTGCACAGTTTTTCAAGGTTATCTCATTTTATGAGTATTGTTCTTTGTATAAATTTTGCGTTTCAGTTAAGATTGTTTTTTGTATTACATTTAAGTATTTGGGGCACATCAGGGTAGTTTCATGTCATTTTGAGATAAAAACGAAATATTGTTTAACATTTTTGGACAGTTAGCAGTGGTATGGTTGCATGCACTCCTGAGTCACTTAGAGAGGCTTTTACATCTCTAGAGGCTGCAGCCAGCAAAATGCATCTAGCAGTCAATCAAAATAAAACTAAATACATGCCGTGTGGTAATAACAGCAGCACTTATTTTGAAATTGGGAATTACAAATTTGAAACTGTTAGCAAATGTAAGCATTTAGGATCAGAAGTTAATACTCTCAATGATTTAATGCCCGAGATCCCTATAGAGTCACAGATGCTAACCGATGGCTTTTGGTCTAAAAAAATACTTAAAGTCTAACTTCACTAGCAGAAAAACGAAGATTTTAATTTACGAAAACTTAATCAAACCCATTCTTACATACTCTGCTGAGACTTGGGCAATGACAGAAAAAGCTAAAAGTATCATTTCTGTCTTTGAAAGAAATATAAGGATTCAGATAATTAAATGGGCAGGACACCTGTGCAGAATGATGAAAATTGAGTAACTAAAAAGATCTTCTCGGCCAGACCATTCGGCACCCAAAAAAGAGGGAGACCTAAACTTAAGTGGCTCGACTGTTTGGAAACAGACTTGAGAATTTTAAAAATAACCAAATGGATGTCCATGGTCAGGGATAGAAGAGCTTGGAATTCGTTTCTGAGAAAGGCAAGGGTCCCTTCATGGGCTGTCTGACCATAGAAGAAGAAGAAGCAGTAGTATGGATCTCGAAATGACAGCAAGAAGGAAATGTGTATTCAGCACTCATTAATTATCCAGGTTTAATATTTCAAATGCAGAAAAATTCTATTTGAAGTATTAGAAAAAAGGATGATTAACCCTTTGCGGCACACCTAAAAATTTCCTTCTGTATGCACAAAAAAATTGAATGAAAAAGGATTTATAGGTTACTATAGGCTACCTTTGAACCTTCTTTATTTCTAGTAGATGGCAGCTCAACACAAACCAGTCCATATATTTTAGCCATGTTTAGTTTTTTAAGACCCTCATTTTTCAAAGAAATTTCTATGTTATTTTTTGGCTGTATTCTAATTTCTTTATTCTATATTAGTTTTAAATTTTTACCTTGAAATTTTGCTTAAAATCAAACAGCGAACCCTAGGTGTGCCCAGACCAGGCTCACCGATAATCTAAGACAACTGACAGTCTGCATTCTTTGTTTCTCCGCATCTCATCTGTAAGTTCATTGACAACAATGCTCGTTTCAGCACTCTTTTCGAAGCTCTATTCAGTGTGCCACTTTGGGCACACCCACAGAATTAAAGCGATAAGTGCTATCTTCACAAAATTTTACTTGTGTACTCCTCTAGGCCTAATTAGACTGCCTGCCTACCTTTTTTTTTTTTTTTTTTTTTTTTTTTTTTTTTTAAATCAAAACTCCGACTTTAAAAGGTAGCGTTCCGGAAAGAGTTAATAGTTTTTATTTTCATTATCCGAATTTATATTTTTGACACTTTAATTACTTTTCCTATTTCCCTTTTAAGAATCGAATTTGCCAAATATTTTCCAACTTTAATAACATAAATAATAGCATAAAATAATAATGCGTTCTCACTTTTAATTGCCTAGTAGCACTTCTAATTCCTTATATAATTTCTTCTTAAGGTTCTTTTCTCCATGGTCAGTGTTATATATAGGTCAAATTGAATAATAAGATAACTATGCATAAGATAACTATCTTATATATGTTTACTTATTAATTTAAGAGAATTTTAAGTATTCAGATTAAAACTTCAGTAACTTTTCACTTCATATTTAGTTTCAAAATAAATGAATAGGCAAGACTTCAGAGCACTTTGTTCTGGATTTAGTTGTTAGCAACCAAATGGGCTGGCTTGTATGGGATTTTATGATTTCCCATCACATAAAATAAGTTGTAAATATCAAGACTGAATTCAAACACTTAAAACAAAGAAAAAGTGCCACATTTTGCTTTATTTGAATTTCATGGACTTTAGTATTTGATATTTGAGCCACTCTGATATCAAATACCACTTTATGCCACTCTGATGTTCAAAGTGGCTGAAAGCTAAATTCCATTAAAACCTTAACAAAAGCATTCCTTTCAAGGCAGAATCTACAAAGGTGTTGCCATTGTGGGTAACCTCAGCATTGATTTCAAAACAAAATCTTAAAAAAATTTAAATTCCAGAATTATGTTTGTTTCTAACAGTGTAAGACATAATGATAATTAATGCCTTGCATTATTTAATTGTAATAAATTATTATCATGTCTTGTATTAATTACTTTAGCTTTCCTTGTTGTAAGAGTTTTTTTCCTCCCTTCTTTTCCAGAAGCAGGCTATTCAACAGAAAAAGTTACCTGATGATGTTTTAGAAAATTTAGAAGACCACTCTGTTCTGAAACCTAAAGACTTATCTTTTGAAAATGAACCAGATAATTTTGAAGGTTAAAAGTTTACTTCATATTGTTATATCATATTACTCTCTCTCAAAATTGTTAAGGTTTTATTTAAAATATTTCATATAGTTTTAAAATGCAAAAATAATAGAGTTTTTAAATACTGTAGAAGTCCTAAAATGCATTTAGATTACTGTGGAAGTCTGGAAATTGCTCTGTAGTAGATTTTGTCACTAAGTCCTAGTATTTACCATAATGAAGTGTTAAAGGTCTGAAAAATGCTTTTAAATGATTCTATATAAATGTTTACCCAATCATTTTTGTAAATGATAACCAAAAGTAACAGTAAGAGCCCAAAGCACAAGGCAGATTATTATGGTATATTTGTTTAATGAGGCAAAATATATAATTTCATCTTGCCATTTTATTTAAGTAAATGTGATTACTCAGTTTTTAATTTTAAAAATTGATAATTAAATTACATGGACAGACTTTCTATGAATGAATACCGCTATTAACTAAAAATCGAATTTCGTTATGCTGAGTAATTGATTTTTGAATGTTTTAAAATTTGTATTTCCTTGCTAAAATGCACTTAATCACCGTTGTTCTTATCCCACTTGATCGACAGCAACATCTAGGTCAAGTGGTCAAGTCCATAAACCCGTAGATTTTTAAACAATGAAAACCCACATCTGGATTGGAGTACAGTTTGTTCTTCAGGAAACAAATGCATGATAAGACATGGGCAGGAGTGGCTTGGGTAAAGTTGCATTTTAGGCAAAAGGGCTAAACTTTAAGGCCAGACACATGTCACTGAGCATGAAGATGAGCACTGCAGAACCTAGCGAGAGCTGCCTGTTCACATCTGCTGTTTGACCCAATCATAACAGCACCAAGACTATTACAATTGTAAGACTCATGAATAGGGGCCTTGCTCCAGGTAGAGTTAATTTCTAATTTGACTCAGGAGGCGAGTTCCAAGAAAGAAAGACAGCCACCATCAGTAGAACTCTTAAGACTGACCTCTCTGGCTAGTTGATCTGCAATCTCGTTACCATAAACATCTACATGTGATGGTACTCACTGGAAGAAAATCTTAATATGGGCACTCAAGCAGCCCAAGTGTTGAACAATATTAACAGTCATACTGTCACCATGTTTCCACCATCCAGCCAGGTGCTGAATAGAATTTTGGTTATCTCTTAGAATCCCGATGTCAGTATTTGACACCCTCATTAACACAAAAATTCAAGGCCTCTTCAATAGCTATTCAGCACGGAAAACGGAGCAGTCAGGGTTTCTCCTACGGATTCTCATGTCATTCCCCTGCTTGATAAACACTCCACTACCTGAGATAGTGCCATCACCTCACCTAATCACTAAAAGTGGCAATTTAATTACCCAGTCTGTAAATTGCAAATCTGAAATGTGGTCAGAAGTTGTGGTGATCATTTTAATAAGGACTGATTTAATAATTAATTTTAATTATCAATATATTCAGTGAATTATTAAAAATTTAAGCACGGATACCTATAATTTAATCGAATAAAACATAATTTCACTAGTTGGTAGTTGCTCATTTTTACTGCAGTCTAAAATTAAAGCATTTGCTAGAAATTTTTGGATCTATATTATCTTATATATAATAAATGATGTCATTTTATTGATTTTTCAGACTTTTATAATACTATTATATACAGTACAAAGTCTTTAATCCGGACTCGTTGGGACTTTGGTTTTTCCAGATTATAGATCAATAATTTAAATCTGGTAAGATGGCATGCAGAAATTATAAAATTAAAAATATGAAATTTTAATTTATGAAAAGAAGAGCAATTGTGATCTAAAGGGTGTCAAAATTTACAAAAAAGAAAAAGCTGAATATTTGTTTGTTTACTTTATTAAACATTTCTTTCAATGTAAGTTGTTTCGTTTTTTGGCTAATGCTTTCTCTTTAATTCTTTCTTCTATGGATCTTATCTTTACAGCTGGCATTAACTACAAAGAGTTCTAACCAGTATCCTGAAAATTATAACCATTTAAACATTTGCTTGGTATTAAAAGAAATCAAAGATGTACTTCTAGTACATCATCGCACGAGGCGAAAGTTCAAAATGCGAGTTCATGAGTATGTAAAATAAGAACAAAAGGTGTTCTTTGTCTTGTGCTACGCTGGCGTGGAGGCAGTCAGAGGAGAAGTCATGTGATCTTGAGAAGGCACCTGGTTGATCGAAATCAATAAAGTTCATTAACAGTTCTTAATTTAACAATAAAAACACTTAATATGTAATAAATTTATGTATATTCCTTTAAAACATCTCTCTTCTATAAACAGTATCACTTCTCTTTACACGCATGCATAGCGAACACGTGCATTAAACGCGCATGAGTAAACGTGTAATGTGTTTACGCATGTGCATAAAGTTTGTAGCTTTGACGTCCAGATTATAGATCATTCCGGATAAGGAATATATGTACTCTATATGTATTCTACTGTATATGCACATACTAAATAATAATACATACTAAATAATGCGCATACAGTATGCTCATACTACAGCATAGACATAGTGTATTATGGACATCCATTTTAAGCTTTCATTTTTTACTTCCTTGTACGAAGTAAAAAGGAAGTATTGTAATTGCGAAAAGTTTCAGGCAGCATATTTCAATGAAAATATCCTTTCGAATGCAATTTAATGATGTATTTGCATGATATCTGTACATAAGGACAGAATAAAAGTCTCTTTTCGTCCAAAAAAATTATAAAACTGCTTTAAAATGAATTCTGAAGAGAATTTTTCGTGACGTCTGTACGTACGTATCTCGCATAATTCAAAAACGAGTAGCCTCAGAGCGTTGAAATTTTGTATATAGGACTACTATAACATGTAGATGTGCACCTCGTATTTTGGTTGCAATCGGCCGCGCCAAACATATATAAATATATTTATATATCCACTCTGTTACCCGGCTCAATGATCTAAATTTCTTTACTCTTATATGTTTGTAAATTGTACATTTTTTGCTTTAAAAATGATTCAATTATGTTGTTCTTATCTTCTGGTTGAGGCTTTTATGCCTTTAGTAAATCTGTATGCAATATTTTTACAATTATCAACAATTTTAACGTTGTTCAAGTGCCGCTAAGCCTAATAATTTTTCTGATGGCGGCCATTGCTTGTTTACATTTGAAACAGCAGAGTAGTGGATCTGTTGCCAATCTAGAGAAACAACAAAGACAATGCTTAATCCTTTCTGGAATTTTTTTGAGGAAATAAGTGTTTAAGATTTACTTCGTAATTTTTAATACAGATACTTTGAGGTTTCATGCATTTTTTCCTTGTCGTGAAGTGAGAACTGAATTAATTAAATGAGAAATACTCAATCGTCTAAAAAAATTGTTTCTTTTTTGTTTTGTTTGCTTAATTTCTTTTATACATCATTCTAGCTTTATTATAGTATTTGAATAGAACATGTGGCAACGATTAGATAATTCTTTAAATGATATAAATTTTATGCATTCTGAATTATAATATGAACGAAATATAATACTGTTAAGTGAACCTAGCGCCAGAGTGTCGCTATGGTAAACAAATAAAGTAAATTTTAAAGAATGCATTTATTCTATTGTGGTTTATGCGCTGTCAGAGAAGTAGGTTTAATTCAATCCAATAAGTTTAAACGAAATGCAAGAAAAGATGCATATAATTTAATATTCCATACAAGGAAGTCGTGGTGTATACATCAGATTTTTTTCAAAGCAACAAAAGTCTGGAATAGTTCAAAATATTTGTAGATGCTTTTTGTTTTAAACTGCATACTGAAGATTATTTAAGTAATGATAAAATAGTATCCCTCCCCCTATTAACATTTGTTACACACTCATCCAGTTTGAGAAAAAGGCTTCTGAATTATCTGTAAGATATTTACACTTTTGTAGATCACATCAGAAACTTCTGTAATTCAGTTTTATGTCATGGGAAATAAAATGCATTATGTAGATTTTCAGCAAAACATTTTTTTAACAAAGCAGAATATCAACATACAAAAGCTTAAAGGCTGGCTGTGATCAATGAAGTGTTACTTTATTGACATGCTTTTATATGATATTAAGCCTTTTTCGTATAAATTTGTAATGTCTGTTGCCATTCTTATTCTGTTTTGACATTAGATACGTCTATAACAGAGACTTCCCTAAGTTTTGGGCCATTTATACAATAAAATTCCAATAATCTGTGTACTTCAAAATTCCTTATTAGGCATTTTGTGGATTATATGTCATGTCTTTCTGACTTTAGTTTACTTTTCTTCGATCTTAATTTTTACATGCATAAATAACCATGTTATATGAGAGATTAACAAGCGATATGAAATAGAGGGATGCATGCCAAAAACTTAAAAACAAAGTACTTTTAATGGTTCTCACTGTTGCATCATTTAAATTAAGAATTTTTGCAACAACACAATACCATTTCTCCTTTTAACAAATGATTAAAAATTTGTATTTTCATTTTCAAAGAAATAAGTTGTTTTCTTACTTTCAGAGATAGTTTGGGACTGAAATATAATTTTACAGTAATTATTTCTAGAAATGAGAAAGGTAACTAGTAATACATATTCAAAAATGTTTTAAATATCCTTCCAAAATCACAATTGTATGATTCATGTAATCTTCCAACTGAAGGATTTTAACACAAGATACATACTGCATGACTTAGAGAAGAATTTCACTGTGAGAGAATGTGGGTGTTCCTGGAATTTATTATATTTTTGTTGTTTAAGTGAATAGTTGTTATTGTGTACTCTCACAACAGCATAAAATGCAACTTAATTTTGTAAAGGTTTAGAATAAAAATCATGTTTTTGAAATATGTACAGTGCGCAAAAAAAAAGTGGGGGACAGTTCTATATCTCCAGTTCTACTGGGCCGATTGACAAAATTCAAATTGCGTTTTCTATGTCTTGAAAGCAAAAAAAAAAAAAAAAAAAAAAAAAAAAAAAAAAAAAAAAAAAAAAGAAAAAAAAAAAAAAAAAAAAAAAAA